GCCGCGCGCCGCAGAGGGGGTGAGCCTGTGCCTCCTGCCCCGTCAGGGCTGTGCTGGCTGTGTGCATAGGCAATTCCCGCCCTCAGTGGCTGGGCATCCAGGGTTGCTGGGGCAATCGGACGCCTGTCGTATCTCCACGGCATGGGCAAGTGGGGTGGCTTGTTCGGCTTCTCCATGTGGCCTGGGCTGGTCTCCCAGCAAGGGCTGCAGCAGGGCCGGGGGAGAGCAGCCTGTTTACTCCCTGCAGGACAGCCGCGACCACAAGATCCACCTGTTTGAAAATGCAGATTTCAGCGGGAGGAAGATGGAGATCGTAGATGACGACGTGCCAAGCCTCTGGGTTCACGGGTTTCAGGACCGCGTGGCCAGTGTCAAAGCATTGAACGGAACGTAAGGGCAGCTCCTGGTCAGCTGGTGCCTGCCTCTGACACCCAAGCACCCCCTTACCAGGGCCGGCCCAAGGGGTTTAGGCACTTTAGGCGAAGTAGGACTTTGGCACCCCCTCGACGACGTGCCAAGCCTCTGGGTTCACGGGTTTCAGGACCGCGTGGCCAGTGTCAAAGCATTGAACGGAACGTAAGGGCAGCTCCTGGGCAGCTGGTGTGTGCCTCTGACACCCAAGCACCCCCTTACCAGGGCCGGCCCAAGGGGTTTAGGCACTTTAGGCGAAGTAGGACTTTGGCACCCCCTCACATTCAATAATTAGGGGGAAGCAGCAGGGAAGCACTGCCTGTTGTGCTCCTGCTGGGCTGAGCGCTGTCTGTACCCACATTGGAGGATGCTCCCTGACATGTTAATTGCAGACATCATGTGGTGGATGGGCACAGGGCAGGGCTGAGGGGGTGGGACAGAGGAATACCTGGCAGCACAGACTAGCACAATGGGCTGCTTTCAGGAAATAGCAAAACAAAGTCCCTGCTACAACCTGACCCCACTCTGTGAGCCAGGGTGAAATCTCTCCCTCGCTCCCAGCCAGCCATCAATCAAAGCACCCACAGGCCAGGTGCAGGAGCAGAACTTCACCCTTCTGTCCAGGTGTGGCAGCGTGCAGGGCCCAGAGCCAGCCTGTCCCTGGTGGCTGGACAGAGCCCCTCCTTGGGGCGTGTGGCTGTCTTGCCAGGAGCCCGC